AGATCTGCTCAGCAAGGGAGGGGAGAGCGGAGAAGAGAATCAGGGTGTGTTCTGTCCTGGAGATCTACCCAGTGTGTCCTTGGTGTAGGGCTGCATACCCCGGAGAGTTGAGAAACTCAATCCAGTAGTACCAAGTGTTTCGGAATTTGGCTAGGGTGTTGTTGAGCGAGCTGGTGAGGTCTTCCATGAGGTAGATGTCGTGCACCCGATCAAGCCATTGGTGAATGGTGGGGGGTTAAGGCCTCCTCCAGAGGGTCGGGATGCAGGCCCGGGCCGAATTGACCAGGTGTCGCACAACTGAGTGTTTGTATGTCTTAAGTGAGGTAGTGTTATGGTGCAAGAGGAAGGAGGCCGGGTCTCGAGGCACCTGGGAGTCAGTAAATTGCTGGGTTGTGGCGTGGACCTGGTTCCAGAAGGTTTGGATTGTTGGGCATGACCAGAATATATGCAGTATGTCCGCATGTGGGGTATCGCAGCGCCAGCAATTGGATGGGGTCTGAGGGAACATAGAGTGGAGAATTTGAGGTGACCTGTACCATCTGGTGACAAGCTTGTAGCCTGACTCCTGGTATTTATTGCTGATCGATGACTGGTAGGAGAGTGTGAGCAGCTTCTCGCTTTCCTCTGGGCTAAACCGGATCCCCATATCAGAAGAGCCCGAGATGAGCTGTTTAAAGCTGCAGCTAACGATTATTTTCAAAATCGATTAGTTAGCCGATTATTAAGTTCGATTAATCGGTTAATCGGATAAAAAGTAAAATACATTTTAAAAAATGGCCCCAGTGATGGGACTACTAGTTTGTATTGAGATTGTAGTCCATCCCAGGAGCAAGCTTGGAGCGGTGCAAGTAAAAAAGAAAAACAAAACTGTGGTGTGCAATATAGTGAAATGAAAAGTGTGTAAAATTATACAGCGATGAATGCAGAATGGCACCGGCTATAGAGGAATACAAAACCCAGCAATAGTACATTATACAGCACAATGCAGAATACCACCAGCTATAGAGGAATACAACAAATCCCAGCAATAGTACATTATAGCTGGCGGTATTCTGCATTGCGATGTATAATGTACTATTGCTGGGATTTGTTGTACTCCTCTATAGCTGGTGGTATTCTGCATTGCGCTGTATAATGTAGTATTCCTTGATTTGTAGTCCTCTATACAGCGCAATGCAGAATACCAACAGCTATAGAGGAATACAACAAATCCCAGCAATACATTTATACATACAGTGTATAATGTATTGCTGGGATTTGTATTCCTCTATAGCTGATGGTACATTGCTCTGAATAATATAGAGCACAATGTACCATCAGCTATAAAGGAATACAAATCCCACTATCCCAGCAATACATTATACAGCACCATGTGTGGGAAAGTGCAGGCTTACCTGAGCAGTCTTCCAGCAACTTGTTTCTGAGATCGGGCCTGTCATACCCTCATGCCTGCTCCTCCTTACTTCTTCTCCCCGCGTCCCTGTGCCGATCGTGAATTTGGGCAGGCGATGAGCGTGAGTCGGGAGGAGGTGCGGCGTGTGGAGCGTGGATGCAGGCGGGCGGGTCTGGCAGCGGCGAGCGTGAGGTGGGGCGCGCAGTGTGTGTGGAGCCGTGAACAGGGCCAACCAATCGGAAGCCGATTAATCGATGATTGGAAAAGTTGACAACTTTTTCAATAATCGATTATAATCGATTATGTCGATTAGTTGTTGCAGCCCTAGAGCTGTTTGTAGCACATGGAAAGGACATGGTAGGCTGGGTCCTCTCGGGAGCATTCCAGCTCATATGGGGTCAGAGCTCTGGAGAGTTGTGAGGGGGGTGGAAGTGATCTCGGGAAGTGAGAAAGTTGTAGCGTTCTCCACGTATCCAGAGGTGTGTGGCCTTGGCGGGCAGGTACACTGAACCTGGAGGGCCAAGAAGAGCCTGTTAGGAAGTGAAGCGCTCTTCCTTTACCTGGAGATCTGAGGGTTCGGGGTATGGCGTCCTCCATTCCTGGAAGGAAGGCCGGATTGCCCAGGATCGATAGTAGGGGTGAGGGGTCGGGAGACAGGAAGTATTGGGAAAAGGCGGATCTGGCTACTTGTGTGAACACCTTTTCTAACCACTTAGTCTCCGGAGCAGTTTTTTCATTTTTTGCACACAAGTTAAATATCTGTATTTTTAGTAAGAGAATGAATTAAAATCCCCAAAATATTATATATTTTCTGAAAGCAGAGGCCCTGTAAAATATAAAGATGGTAGTTGCAACTTATGTTGCATGATATATCCAGATTTAAAATAAATGTTAGTGCT